CTCTCTCGCTCTCTCTCTATTTCTCTGTCTCTCTCCCTCTCTCTCTCTCTCTCTGTCTCTCTTTCTCTCACCATCTCCAACGACCTGAAAAGTCCTGCCATGCTGGTTTTGCGTAGACCGTCAGAATGCCCACACATGTACGCGATCTGTAGTCGGGATTCACGCAGTGGCGATTACATTGGGTTCAGTCGCCGCGAACGAGCAGTGTCGTGTCATCCAACAGGGATTTCTCTCCGTGAGTCCGATGTGTGATCGGGGTGACGTTTGGGGCCATTTGATCGTGAGGTTGATTGGGCCGTGTGATGAAGGCGGAAATCGCCTCTCTGTCGCGCTCTCTCTCTCTTGCTATCTATTTATCTCTCTTTCTGTCTTTTATCTCGTTCGTTTTACTGCGCTTGTCTGTGTTGCTCGCACAAAGTTTGCGAACGTAAATGACAAGCGCAGACAAACGATTGAGGCAGAACCAACAGCGTCGTGTTCCACCACTATCATCGTCCCCGTCGTTAGTTTTCTATCAATGCCTCTATGTCGTTCATTTTTTGCGTCGGCCTGCTTTCGCGAATCTAGTTCCATTGGCGACCACTCGCCCCGATCAGATGGCACACTCAGACATCCACGTGGCAGGTCCTGAACAAGCGTGGGCACGCTGATGGATGTGGGGCATTATGCGGCAACAGAATGTTGTCGAATATAACCCCGCACCCATCAGTGTGGCCACACATGATCAGGACTTGACACGTGGACATGTGTGCCGTCGTGTTCAACTACCATCTTCGTCCCCGTCGTTAGTTTTTCTTCAGTGCCTCTGTTTCATTCGGCCTATGCGTTGGCCTGTTTCTTTCCCGAACTTACCTCGAGGTGCGTTTGCGGATCTCGTTCCATTCGCGACCACTCGCCCTGATTAGATGGCACACTCACAGGTCCACGTGTTAGGTCTTGAACTAGCGTGGGCACACTGATGGATGTGGGGCTCAATGCAGCAACAGAATGTTGTCGAATAGAGCCCCGCACCCATCAGCGTGGCCACGCATGATCAGGACTTGACACGTGGACGTGTGTGCCGTCGTGTTCAACTACCATCTTCGTCCCCGTCGTTAGTTTGTCTTCAGCGCCTCTATTTCGTTCGTCTTATGCGTTGGCCTGTTTCTTTCCCGAACTTACCTCGGGGTGCGTTTGCGGATCTCGTTCCATTGGCGACCACTCGCCCCGATCAGATGGCACACTCAAACGTCCACGTGTCAGTTCGTGAACAAGCGTGCGTACCCTGATGGATGTGAGGTTCTATGCGGCAGCAGAATGTTGTCCAATAGAGCCCCGCACCCATCAGCGCGTCCACACATGTTCAGGACTTGACATGTGGACGTGTGAGTGTGCCATCTGATCCGGGCGAGATGAAGGAGTTTTGGGAACAAGAATGCATGTGTTTCATTGGCGATCACTCGCCCCGATTAGATGGCACACTCAGACGTCCACGTGTCACGTCCAGAACAAGCGTGGCCACGCTGATGGATGCGGGGCTCTATGCGACAACGGAATGTTGTGGAATTGAGCCCCGCATCGATCAGCGTGGCCACGCATGTTCAGGAGCTGACACGTGGATGTGCAAGTGTGCCATCTGATCGGGGCGAGTGGTCACCAACGAAACAGGACCCGCGAATGTAGCCCGAGAATGTTGTGACACGCCCTTCGAGATTGTGTCGTCACTTCAAATGTTTTCTTGAAGTGTTACGCGCTTGTGGTCAATTTGTTGTCTCTCTCACGAACTGCGATATAAGGATTTTAGTTGTATGTTGTCGAACACAAGAACATGGTTTCTCACGAATCGTGTGTCTTCTGGATTGCACATGGACTTTCTTCTCCTAGAATTAATTTTTATTGTGTTCGGTTTGTTTATTCGTTTTTCCACGTAAGTCGCGTCGTGCAGTTCGCTCGGCGTTCGGTTCTGTATCCGTAAATTGTCCTCCACATTCGTCAAATTTTTCATATTTCTTGTCACTCTTCCTCTCGCCGACACGAACAATTTTTTCTTATATTTCTTTTGCGCAGTTTTATTAGTGGGTCACATTGCGAATTCCAAAATGGACAACACCATCCGCAGGATCTGCACATGGAGAGACAGAGAGATAAAGACAGACTCTCTCGCTGCCCATGCTCTATCGATCTTAGTCTCCCTTCCGTGTCTATGCATGTTTTCTGCCTTTCTCCAATCTTCGTGTATCGCAGGCAGTCGCTCGACCTTAGTGCAATCACAGATCAGTAATCCGAAGACTGCTACGACAAATCCGAAGACACAGGACGCGAACGTGAATTCAAATCTTTAAACCCTATCAAACCTAGTATCAGCCGAACGCCACGAGGAACCCTTCCTTTGACGTGGACACAGGACAGGACACGGAGCGATCAGATGCTCATAGGGTATTGTCCACGGCGACATGTCTGACGAACCAGGAGGACGACAGCCCACCCTGTCCATACCATCTTGTGGTGGCGCAACAACTAACGTATCCGAGCCACCCTTGTTAATTTCGGTTGCATCCGAGCCACAACCCACTAAAACTCACGGGGCGACCACTAACCGAGGCACCTCGGCGAAGTTCGGATTAATCCGAACCACACCGACGACAAATTTGGATTTGTCACATGCTTAGACGGTATTTACGACGTCGCACGTTCTGATAAACGTGAACGACGAAATCACACGCTGTCAACAGACCGTGTCGTCCATCCACCGGTCCCTGTCTCGGATTCATCCGAACCACACCTCCAACAGGATAGGGTCCACCCGATGCTCACAATTCATTGAGGAAGACACGCCATGCCGATGGCCTCCTCTTGTGGTCAACCGTTTATGTCTCGCATTGTGCTAATTCGGATGCATCCGAGTTACAACGTCGGTCTTTCGACTCTGCCCAGTTCGGATGTGTTCGAACTCCCCCGCTGTCTTCGTCTTCGACCATTCGCTCTACAAAGGGCAGTCAGATGACGAAGGTTAACAATGCCTCGGATTCATGCAACTAAAACGAGTCGAGATGGTGACGCTCGGGTGGAAGAAAGACGAGCTCGAAAATTGTGTTGCGACTACAACAAACATGTCTGTTGTTTGGATTGGGCGAGCAACAACCAACTAAAACTCACGAGGACGACGACATCCCCCGTGATGACGCACAGATTATAATGACACACTACGGCAATCGCGGGGAGGTCCAGTGTGTGGTGCAGCGACAACAAACCGAAGCGCCTCGACGAAGTCGGATTAATCCGAACCACACCGATGGCTTGTTCGGATTTACCACATGCGCAGAGGGTATTGACGACGTCGCACGGTTTGAGAAACCTGTACGACGAAAGCACACGGTGTCGGCGCAGCCTGTCGTGGTCGCACGTATCGGGACAGCCCTTGTCGAAATCGGATAAATTCGAGCCACACCCGTCTTAAACACTCTAGGACGAAGACACACCGTGCGAAATTCGGGTGGACCCAAGGAAAGCTGGGGAATAACGGAAGCTTGGATGGCTGGATGGGCGTCAACAGACCGTGGGGTCCATCCGCCGGTCCCCGTCTCGGATTAATCCGAGCCACATTTGCGAAGTTCAGGTTCAACTGAACCAAACCTTCCGTAGGATAGGGTTAACCCAATGCTCACAGGTCGATGATGAAAACACGTGCTGTAGATGGTGCCCTCTTGTGGACGACCGTCTCTGGACAGCGCTGTTCGAATTCGGATGCATCCGAGTCACAACCGTTACCGACTCAGAAGGACAAGAAAACTCGAGTTCGGTTTTGTCAGGGCCGCAAGGGGGTGGTCCACACCACTTTGGAGCTCGGATGCATCCGAACTACACCGGCGAACTTTACAATCCGCTTGTCGACTTCGGATGACACCGTGTCACCACGTGGTGCACGTCTTCGTCTGTTGTGTCAACATTCTAGTGCCTTCTTGCGAGGTATTGCTTTTCCCGGTGCAGGTTCCTATGCGACGTCGGTTTTTCAACTGCGCCTGCTTCGGATGTATCCGATCTATCCCGTGGTTTTCGTTTCCGACCATTCGTTCTCTTAAGGGCATTGTGACGAGGATGGTTCACGATGCCTCGGATTCATCCGAAACGTGCACGTGTGGTGACCACTGTCGTCTAACTATGACTGAACTTCGTTGTTTTGGGGTCCGGGTGACTGATAACAGAATACGTGCTGTGGGTCGTGGTTGATGTTGGGACGTGCTGATTGTTCTGAGTGCATATGGGTTCATTTCCTCTGTGTGTTTCAGGGAATGGCTACACACGGACGAAGCCGCTCCCCTGGTGGTTCAGCCCCGCATGGAGAGGAGCGTCGAGGGACGACGTCGTCGCCGACAAGGGAAACGAGTCGGGGAGGTGGCGGTGGGGAGGAAGAACGACGGGCTCAAAACTTGTGGTGCGACTACAACGAACGTGTCTGGTATTTGGACTGGGCGAGCCAGGACGGCTCCGACCCGTTGCAAGCACCATGCGGGCCGCTCTTGTTCGTCGCCGTTCGTGCCGACAGAACGCGTCTCGCAAGGTCCATCGTCCAATGGGTCGACGTTGGCGAATACAATTTCAAGGTTACGTTGAAGAAGCATTACAGAAGTGATGGTTCCGTCGACGACATCGCAAAGGGATGCAAGGTTGCCGGGAGGATGTTCGGCGGGTACGGTCGGCGTGCGATGTCTTTGCCGTACTTTGTCCCGCTAGCGCCGGGGCACGACGAGGCCGTTCACATGACAGACTTCCTCGAGGTCTGGGCGAGATCTGGTACCTTTGTCAGTGCCGTGGACGTCGGACCTGGGACATCGATCAGTGGTCCGGTTGGGTTCGCGGGAAGAGAGTGCTCTGAAAGGGGGATGAGAGGTAAGGGTGGCCTGCCAGCTACGCCTCCTGATCAAGAGGTGGGCATGTCAGACGACTCGGAGGACGACCATCCGCGTGCTCCTTCGAAACCCGTCTTGCATGGGTCTCGCCGCCAAGGTTTGCTTGGAGAGTCGATGCCACGTGGAGGCAGCGATGACGAACGGTTATTATCAATTATATTATATCAAAATATCCTTTAAAAAAAAAGAAAACATATGTAGGTTAGCCCTCACTAGATCAAAGGTGCCAGAAAAATGAAATATTTTTTTCTGGATAAAAGGTCTATTATTGCTATCTCGCATAGGAGGTCCTCCTAAGCCATTATCTATTAATGCATCTACAGCTTCTCTCGTCGGCTATCGAAGTTTAAAGAAGGAGATCTTGTTTGGGTCAAGTCCATAGAACTTTCCTAAGAAGGAAACGTATCATAGAAACTACGATCTGTCTACTTCGAACCTTAGGAAGTTCTCAAGGTGATAGGGGATACTGATGGATCGTTGCACAGAATAAATGTACCCCCACACCTCAAGACATATCTCGTCTTTCATGACGCCAAGTTACCACCATATGTAGACGGACCAAGACAAAAGTTTCAAGAAAAAGACTTTCACTGTGTAAAATTTATGTAAATTAAAGGAAAATATTCACAAAGCCCAATTACAAATAATTGAAGAGGCCAATAAACAAAGAAAGGAATGGGCTGAGAAAATTCGATACTACCTCCCGCTGGCCATGGCAGATGACTCCGTCTTCGCTTTGGGAGAGAAGTTCTATGAGGAGTGGTCGAAAGGGAAACTCCTCGCTTCCGACGGCCGGCGTTGGACTGAAAAGTCGCCCACCCATGAGGAGGTGTCCAAGCCTGGACTTTCCACTGTGACTGACAGCTAGGGGCTGAAGAAACACGTCTGGTACGTGAAGGTGGACGACCCGCGGTTGAAAAAGGGCAAAGGGAAGCCAAAGAAAGGCGCGGAGGAGAAAACTTTCTACATCCAAGTTCCTGAGCCGGATGTCCACTGCTGGAAGGAATTGGTGGACTTGGCGGACCACGAGAAGAAAAGGTTGTTGAACGACGTCTTTAACCTTAACGTCGTGTGGGTTCAAACGAGTAGCAAGAAGTTGGTCGAGTAGGGGAAGTTCAGTGTCAAGGAGATGGTCGACATAATAAAAATGGATCGGATTATGCTGAGGCTGTCGCACTACGTGGAGTTCGAGTATGAGGAAATGGATATGCGGGAGTGGAATGCCAACTCCACGTTCTTCAGGTCCAAGAAGCAACTGTTGGAAGAGTTCAAGGACAAAGGTCTCGACGACAAGCTTTGGAACGAGAGCAGGAAATTTTTCACGGACTTCACGTACGTCAACAAGTGCCCTCAGTTTCTCGGGTGTCAACACTACAATAACATCAAGAGAACGGCGGCCCTCGTCAACGACCAGCATTTCCCGGCGAAGTGGAAGCGTGTCGCCCTTTCAAGGATCACTGGAGATCGCGCCAAAGGCAAAAAAAGCCCTCGGGGCGTTGATGAATGCATCAACATTATGTGGACGAGGACAAGCGCCTTGACGACGCTGGCCCAGTTTAACATCGACCCATTGAGTGCCATAGATCATAAGGAGGCGCTGGGAAAACTAGGGCATCAGCTACGCTCCCATACTTGCGTGCTCGACTTGTGCGGAACTGTGGACCGTGCGCAATGGGACTCTGGGGCATTCGCGTCTCAGAGTGAGTTGCTGGGCTTCGTTTGTCAGGACTACTGGACATTGGTGGTATTCGTTCCCTGCCTGTGCAACCTCTCCTTCATGACATCTTTGTCTTCGCTTGGGGCTACCCGATGCTACACGGGGAAGTGGGTTCGGAAGACGACAGCGAAGAAGACACATCAGTTCGGAAACAGCGTCTGGGAGGAGCCGGATGTGATGCACATCCTTTTCAAAGGCGAGGATCCTCGGCTATTGACGCACCCGGTGTACGAGGGAGTTGTTGCTGAAGACGCCGCCGCCGCTCTCCGGAGGAAACAGAAAGTGACACCCACGGATGTGGAGGAGAAGTCTTTCAAGTCCTTGACTTTCGCGGACATTGGAAACCTCACCCAGAGAGGGGCTCTGTAAAAGGATGGCGAGCGAAATCCGAATCAGTTATGCAATCAGCTTCTTTTCTTCTGTGGTGTGGCAGATGCCGTGCTGTTCTTGGGCAAGCGGCACGCGCAGGTGGTGTGGAGTCTGCTTCAGCAGGGAAGGCACGTGCTGGCTGTGGATGTGGACACAATGCAGCTTAAATACATCGTGCAGTATGTCACCCATGAAGTGTCGTCCAAGGCTTACCCATGCGTTTTCCACCATGTCGTGGTCGAGCCCGTTTATGACCCGAACAAGGACATGTTCTTTAAGTTGACTCCGAAGAAAAGGCGCCAGGTCTACTCCTTCCTTTACGGCGAACAACCAAGGTTGAGATTTGACCCGCAGTACGTGGTGCGGAAGAAAGTCGTCATTGTGGTCCTCCAGGGCTACCACGGAGCGAGTCGGGCCGGCGCTGTGAGCTTCATTAAGAGGCTGGAATATGTATTTTTTAATGAGGATGTTGTCGATCCGGCCGACTGCACTTTGAATAACTACAAGCTGGCATTCGGTGAGGAGGATGACTTCAATATCGAGACTGAGCAGGAGGAGAGCGTTGAGGACGACCTCTTCGATTTGGACGGGCAATTGGCCATCTTCAACGCCCAAGTTTCTTAGTCGTCGTCAGTATGCAAACCCGGGACACCTCTCGCTACACCCACCTCGGGCGGCCCCACGCCCATGTCCTCCTCAGCGCCTGTCAAGAGGGGTGGGTTGTCCCGTCTGAGGAGTTCGTTGGGGGAGCCTATTCCTCTCACACCGCAGCCCGAACGTCTTCGACCTGGCCATCCAGTTCCTCCGGACCATCCGCATTTCAAGGCTCCTGTGACTCCCTTCCACATGGGCGACAAACACACCTTGTCTATAGCCGAAGATTGGGCCTATGATATCGTGTGGCACCGAGACTATATCCAGCCAGTCCTTCTCGACGGCGAATGGGCAGTGGCTCTGAGGGACGTAAGTGGAGGGTGGATATATGACGATCGTTGGGACCTCGAGACATTCAAATCTCGCACCTATGATGCGGTTTTGGAGAGATTATGTGAGGTCATCGACGAAGTAAGGACGACCCTGCTCTGTCGAATACGGGGACACTCTGTTCGATTTATTAGAGTCAAATAAATGGCTGGAAGTGTCCTCCGCGTTCTACGCCCTTCCGTCAAGCCCGTCTATTAAGCAAGTGAGTTGGGAGTTGCCTGCGGGCACCCCGCCGGCAGGAGTTGTGAAGCGCAAGTCTCGCGGAAAGGACGGCGAAGGGGATGGTGAAGGCGGCGGGTAACGAGGTACCGGAGGTGGAAGTGAACAACGTTCAACGAAACAGCGGTCTCCGGGGCACGCAGGCGGCGGAGAGGGGAAAAGGGGCAGCCGGGAGAAGAAAAAGCCTCGCAGCGGAGAGAAGACAAAGCATCACACAGGAGACGGGCAGGGGTCCGATGTCGACCGCGACGAGGACGGTGGGGTTCTGGCGGTGACAGGCAGCACCTCCATGGTGACGGGGAACGACTTCACGCCTGGGTGGATTACACGGTCTGGCGAGCAGCACCCTGTGATTAGCTCCACCAGTGCACCACATTATACCGATGGTGTTGGCGGGGCAGTTGTAGCAAAGAATGGAACTTGCTTCGCTCAGCTCCAAAAACGGTTGGCCGATTGTCTCGGATCTATCCGAAGCTCGGAGACGACATAGTCGTCCGGAACTCCGTGCCTTCCGGGAAGCGAGACGACAACATACCACGGATCCGGCAGCGACGAGCTCCAACCATGTTCGGTTTCCACTCAAAAGAAAGTTTGGATTAATTCGAACCGGGAAGCCAGTACCCTTGAGAGAGCACAGCGGTCTGCGGAACTCGAACGGGTGGTCCGGGTTTCCGAAAACCCTGGCGGCGAAATTCGGATTCATCCGAACCAGGAGGACGTGTCCGCCATGACAGACGACCGGTGTCAGGATACCGTAATGCTGTGCATGGAAGTCCACAAGGAGCTGCAGGCAGACTGTCCGACTGAGGGTGAGTTAGCGACCGGTTTCAATGTCGAGCCCCGCACACTCGGAGCCGAATGCCTGGTGACGGTACTCGCTGAGTTAGCAGTCTTAAGCGACTCTCCGGTGAAAGCGGACACGCCATCGCCGTTGGAAACTGCGGTGGCTCGGATGAATCCGAACCAGGGCCCTGTGAGCATGTCCCTCTGATGCAGGTTTGGAGACGACCGTAATTCGGATTCATCCGAGACACACGGACGAAGGACTTGACGGTTGTCGACTTCTGACGACTTTGGACAAGGACGATTCCACCGACGACCGGATTGATCCGACACTCGGCGACGTCGGGATGGAGCAACCAACTCAGCCGGCATACGACGACCCCTTGTACTCTGGCCTTCACGACGAGGCGATGGGAAAGGACGTTCTGAAGAAGTCCTCTGACGCTGTTGGAGATAGATTTCTCTATTTGAGTGACGACCATAAAGACACAGCGCACGAGGACAAGAAGTTAAGGGGGGGAGAGGTGTTGTTGGACATCCATGGGACCTTGAGCATAACACAATGCGACACAGTGGCGACGGAGGAAAACCAACCTGTCGATGTTGTGGACGTCGACGCTCTTTGTCCGGAGACGGACATACTAAAATTGCCCGTCGCGGACGTGGAGGATTTCCGCCATTGGGATGGGGATGAATTCATGCCGTCTCCGGTCGTCGACGCTGACATCTCGAACCTATTAAGTGTCCCTGTGAGTTTGGAGCAAGTCGTCGCCGCGTCGACGCGCACGGGGGTGCCAATCATGTCGGGACTGCCATCGGTGGGCTCTGGTGACGTTGAAGCTAAGTCTGGTAAGCACTGTCTTCCTCAGCTTGCTTCCCGCTCGTCAGCCCATTCGTGAAGTGTTGTTTGCTTCGTCGATTTCGGGGAGGTGTGTACGTGGCCGCCAACTGGAATTGACGATGTGCTTCGTGAGGTGCTGTTTGCTTGGTTGCTCTTGCGAAGTGGTGTTGTTGATCTCCTGCTGAACTGTCTGGGTGGCTATTTCTTGTACAGGTCGACGAGCTCGTGGACAAACACACATGTCGCAGGAGTCGCTTGCCCTCACAAGGTTGTCAGTCCTAGTTGCGGGAGGCACTGGTCGTCGCAATGTCACTGATTCGTTTCCTGGAGAGACTAAACCTCGGGGCCCTCCCAGAAGG